ATGTAATTAATCCTGTAATGCACCAGTCCCTTGCTTTACTACCACCCTTTTCCATATACTCGAACTTACTTAGCCTGCTCTCCAGTTCTAGAGCCCAGGCTGTTCTTCCACATAAAATTTAAGCAGAGCACTATGAGAAACCATAATTGGTATCTTTGGAGATAACCTGTACAACTCTGGCAGGTATCTTTGCATACTAGATCCTGTTGGGGTATATATTAAATGCTTTAGAAAAGAAAAAAAGAGGAGATACTACCAAGACAGCTTTGAGATAAGGCATTCAGCTGGAAGAAGCAGTATGAAATAAAAAAGATTTCCAAAAAGTGGACATAAACAAGGAAATGGAGCCTACTTAGATGGCTGAAGCATTGCAAAACCTGTGAATAGTTTTTACTTTAATTGTTGTTCTTTTTTTTAATCTAATTTTCTTTTAACATTGATGCATAGTTGACATATAATGTTACCTTAGTTTCAGGTATACAAGGAAAGGATTCAGCAAAACTGTACATTATGCTGTCCTCATCAAAAGTAGTTACCATCTGTCATTATACAACAGTGTTTAGTCCTGTTGACTATATTTCTTACGCTGTACCTTTCATTCCTGTATTTAACCTGTTTCTATCACTTCCTGTCACTCATTTTGACCATGCCATCTGCCCCTCCCCCACCCTCAGTTTATTCTAGTGTCTTTTTTATTCTAGCCATTCCCACTTGTGTTAAGGTCCTGATTTCCCTGATAATGTTGAGCATCTTTGTCATATTATACTAATACACGTATTATACATATATTCTCCTTTTTGCCAGTTGAATATGAGCTTACTGGTGTTACAGAAATATGTTCTTGTAGGACAGACTATACTCATTTTTCTTATGCTATAATTGGTAGTGAGGTTTTTTTTCTCCTCTTGACTGCATTGTCTTATTCTTTTTTTCTAGTTAGACAGTAGTTTTATTGCTTTAGTGCATATACAAATTTATGCAACCAGGGCAGAGACTGTGGATGACTTGTATTTCCAACTGGTGATTACAGCAGTTCTCAGTCAGAATCTATTGGCATTTAGCATCTTTCCTGTCTGTTCCTCTCAAGATGCTTTCAAACACCAGTACCTTTCTTAATCAAATAACAGAGATCCTCAGAAAGATCAGGAGCAAGTCCTTTCAAGTTAAGTATTTTCAAGATTTTATTGCCTGCTCACAAAACGTGCAACACCATGGGAGTCTTACAGGGAGAGACTGAGTCAGTCAGGCCCTTCTTGGCAAATTTGTACATCAGCTCCTTCATATTAGCAGCCATCAAGTTCAACTTCAGCCACTGGGTATGTACATGTGACCCATGATGGCAGTGGTCAGGCAGAGAAACAAAATGTCTTCTTTTTTGATTAAAAATCATTTGTTGGGGCACCTGAGTGGCTCTGTCAGTTTAAGCACCCAACTTCCAGCTCATGTGCTGATCTCTTAGTTCGTGAGCTCGAGCCCCGCATCGGGCTCTGTGCTGACAGCTCAGAGCCTGGAACCTGCTTCAGATTCTGTCTCCCGCTCTCTCTTCCCCTCCCCCGCTTGCACTCTGTCTCTCTCAAAAATAAACTTTAAAAAAAAATTTTTGTTTTTTAAATAAAAAAATTTTTTTAAATCATTTGTCATGGGGGACAGGGGCTGCATGGCTTTGCCACTTGAGCACTGGACTCCTGATTTCGGCTTAGGTCATGACCTCACAGTCATGAGATTGAGCCCCATGTTGGACTCTGCACTGATGGTGCAGAGATTCTCAACTTGGGATTCTCTCTCTCCCAGTCCCTTCGTCTGTCTGTCTCTCAAAATAAACTTTAAAAAATCTTTTTTTTTTTTTCTTAATTAAACCCACTCCTTTTCTTTGTATTTTAATTTTTATTATTTTTGAGAGAGAGACAGCGTGAACAGGAGAGGAACAGAATCTGAAGCAGGCTCCAGGCTCCGAGTTGTCAGCACAGAGCCTGACGGAGGCCTCAAACCCACTAACTGCAAGATAATGACCTGAGCTGAAGTCAGATGCTCAGCCAACCCAGGCATCTTTGTTTTAAGTAGGTTTCGCACCCAGTGCAGAGCCCAACAAGGGCCTTAGACTCACAGCTGTGAGATAAGACCTGAGCCGAGATCAAGAGTTCGACAGCTCACCTGACTAAGCCACCTAGGTACCCCCAAAACCCACTCTTTATATTGTAAGATATTTTTTTATAGGTGCCCCCAAAACCCACTCTATATTGTAAGATATATTTTTTTTAATGTTCGTTTTTGAGAGAGCAAGACAAAATGTGAGCAGGGAAGGATCAGTGAGAGGGAGACACAGAATCCAAAGCAGTCTCCAGGCTCTGAGCTGTTGGCACAGAGCCCAATGTGGGACTTGAACTCATGAAATGTGAGATCATGATCTGAAACAAAGTCGAATGCTTAACCAACTGAGCCACCCAGGCGCCCCTATGTTGTAGGAATTTTAAAGCTACATAAAATGATAAAAAGAACTTCCAAACACTGTTCACAGTTCAATAATTCTTAACATTATGGTACATTTGCTGTATTAGTCTTCCTTTATGTAATTTTCTAACTTAAGAGAAATGGGTATAGCACCTATGCATTTTTGGTTATTTATTTTTTGAGAGAGAAAGCACAAGTGGAGGAGGGGCAGAGAGAGAGAGTGAGAGAGAGGATATCCCAAGCAGGCTCCATGCTGTCAGTGCCAAGCCCATTGCATGACTCACACTCATGGACTGTGAGATCATTACCTGAGGTGAAAAGTTGAGACCACTTGTTTTGCAGACTACATCTCAGTTTGGACTTCTGTATGGTTTTTTATAATTTGCACTTTACAAAATATACAAAATTACAAAATATTTACTATACAAAATAAATACATAAAATTGGCCATCTTAATGTGTTAAGTGATGTTAACTGTATGCACAATTGTGCAGCCAATTCCAGAACATTTTCATCTAGAAAAACTGAAACTCTGTATCCATTGAACAGTAACTACCCATTTTACCTTCTCTTCCCAACTACATTCTACTTTGTTTATTTGAATGTGACTCTTCTATATACCCCATAAAAGTGGATTCATACAGTATTTGTCTTAATGGGACTAGCCTATTTCACTTAGTGTAAAGATATGTTCTTCCATGTTCTAGTGTTGTCAGAATTGAATTTCTTTTCTTTTTAAGACTAAATGTATATTTCAGTGTATGGAAATCACAGTTTTTTTGTCATCCATTTTCTCTGTCAGCAAGTGCTTAAGTTTTGTACAGTTTTTGGCTGTTTGGAATAGTACTGCTGTGAACATTTCAGTACTAGTTTTGGTGTGAACTTTTTTTTTTTGTATATAGATATAGATATAGATATAGATATAGATATAGATATAGATAGATATAGATAATCTGGGAGAAAAATTGCTGGATGAGGAAGTAACTCCATGTTTAACGTAATGGGGAACTGCCATACTGTTTTCCAAAGTTGGTGCACTACTCCTATTTCCACAAGTATAAGGGTCCCAGTTTTTCCACATTTTATTGATAATCTATTACTGTTTTTCCATTTCGTCTTGCTAAGTTGTATTAAAGGGGCATTTCAGGGGCGCCTGGGTGGCACAGTCGGTTAAGCGTCCAACTTCAGCCAGGTCACGATCTCGCGGTCCGTGAGTTCGAGCCCCGCGTCGGGCTCTGGGCTGATGGCTCGGAGCCTGGAGCCTGTTTCCGATTCTGTGTCTCCCTCTCTCTCTGCCCCTCCCCCGTTCATGCTCTGTCTCTCTCTGTCCCAAAAATAAAAAAAAAATAAAAAATGTTGAAAAAAAAATTTTTTTTTAAATAAATAAAAAAAATAAAGGGGCATTTCAATGAGGCTTTCATATGCATTTCTTTGATAGTTAATGATTGTTTCTTCAAGGGCTTACCAGCCATATGTACGTCTTTGGAAAAATGTCTATTTACAGATTTTGCTTAGTTTTTAATTGTGTTGTTTGTCTTTCTATTATTTTTTAAGTTTATTTATTTTGCGAGCGAGAGAGAGCAAGATCAAGCACAAGCATGGGAGGGGCATATAGCGGGGGATGGGGGAGAAGAGAAAGAGAATCCCAAGCAGACTCCATGCTGTCAGTGTGGAGTCCTACATGGGGCCCGAACCCACAAACTGTGAGATCATGATCTGAGCTGTGAAACCAAGAGTCAGAGGTGTAACTGACCGAGCCCCCCAGGTGTCCCTCTCTTTCTGTTATTGAATTGTAAGTGTTCTTGGTACATTCAGATAGATGTCCTTTATCAGATATATAGTATATAAATATTCTTCCCGTTTTGTCCCATTTTCTCTTTTATTTCCAAATAGTTTACTTTTATTCACAGAAGATTAATTTTGATGTAGTCCACTTAATGTTTTTCCTCTTGTCACTTGTGCTTTTGGCACAATACATAAGAAATCATTGTGTAGTCTCAGGTCATGAATATCTACTGCTACGTTTTCTTTTAAGTGGGGATATTCTGGTTAGCATCATGTATCTTTTTTTTTTTTAAGTCTCTGTTGATAATATGACAACAATGCAAAGGGTTTGCACTGTCTGTACATCAGGAAAGTTTTCTTTTCTCTATTGTCTTAAATTGTGACTTAATTTTAAAAACAAACCGTTCATCATATGAGGCAAATAATTAAGCAGTTGGCGGGAAGCGATTGTGTTTTAAGGAGAATAATTCCTTTTGAGTGTTTTGGGGTTTTTTCTGTCTCCAGTGGGTGTGGGAGGACATGTTGATTTGTCGTCTCTGGATAGGAAATTGCTCCTTTCATATTTTGGGTTGACAATTAAAGAACTGTGGTTGATTATTAATTAGTCCAGGTCTGATTATATCTTAACATTTGATCTTATAGATCAGCTTTGCTAATATTTATTGATGGTGTTTTCTAATTAAAGATAATATACTCTTCAGTATATTAAATGTCAAATGTTAAGAACATGTGAATTACATTTTACTTTAGTCTGTGTTTTTTTGCAGATAGCACAACAGTAGAAAAATTAAAAGCTGTTTGTTTGGACTATGCAAAACTTGGAGAAAATAACCTTGGATCATCTCTTGATTCACTTTTCCTTGGTCCTTCTGCCTCCCGAGTGCTGTATCTAACAGAGGTTTGTTTTATTTTTCACAATGTGATTTTTATATCATATGGTAATGGAAATAACATGCATTAAGATTATAATCTTTGAAATTTTTAACATCTTTTAATACAGCCCCCTCTTATTTTTTTTCCCCAGGTAGTTTATGCCCTGTTGATGCCTGCTGGTGCACATTTGGCAGATGATTCCTCTGACTTTCAGTTTCACTTTTTAAAAAGTGGTGGCTTACCCCTTGTACTGAGTATGTTAACAAGAAATAACTTCCTGCCAAATACAGATATAGAAACTCGAAGGGGTGCTTACTTCAATGGTCTTAAGATAGCCAAACTATTGTTAACTGCCATAGGCTATGGCCATGTTCGAGCTGTAGCAGAAGCTTGTCAGCCAGTTGTAGAGGGTGCAGATCCTGTAACACCGGTAATAAAACTTTAAAAATCTTTAACAAGTTTTATGGTGGATGTTTAATTTTTAAAGCTAAACTGCTAAATGATTAAGTACAGAATGCAAGTTCAATTCAATCTATTAAGTTATATTTGTATTGTAAATGTAAATACTCTCTGGTGATTATACTGATCTCACTAATCCTTAAGTCCCTTTTGAGTGTCAGTTGTTTAGGTCTCAGAAACTTCACCTGAGCCTTTATTAACTGATATCTGAAAGATATAACGATATATAAAGGTAGAAAAGAAAAGATCTAATTGGCATATTGCCCACCTCTTCTTCCAGTGTGGCCATTGTAACAACCATTATTGACAAAAACTCTGCTGTCCTGTGGTATCATCCAGATATACTGAGATTTGATGCAAATGGGGTTGAATGGGGGCATCTACTTCACACTAGATTTTAGTTCATCAGTGATGGTTACTTATGATTGTTTTGTTAAACACCAGCTAAAGATAAAAATGGGTTAGGGATATAGATTTTCTTTATATATATGTTGGTTCTTCATCACAAATATTTGAATTACTACACATTTGATACTTACACATCCCCTTAATAACATGAGGTGAGTTAATAGTGTTATGGATACTACTTCAAAGAAGACTCATATAGTGAGGCATTTTAAATAAAATATAATGTCTGAGATTTTCTCTAACATATTTCTGGAGGTGTGGTCAGAACTAGACTTTTGTTTTTAATTTTTTATTTATTTACTTTTGAGAGAGAGAGAGAGTGGGAAGGGGCAGAGAGAGAGAATCCCAAGCAGGTTGTGCACTGTCAGCTCAGAACTCCATGTGGGTTTTGAACTCCTTAACTGTGAGATCATGACCTGAGCCAAAACCAGAAGCCGGATGCTTAACCAACTCAGCCGCCAAGGCACCCCTATATTCTTTCACTTTTATATAATTTTGCAATTTTCTGGATATAAATGGATGAAAAGAAAAGTGGTGGCTCTGTACAAGAAAATTTTAAAAAGAAAATTACAATAACTTTACTCTAAGTGTGATGCTTTATTTGTGGCTTCTGTACATATTTATATAAAAACAGGTTTTTGTCATGATCCTTTCCATACTAGCTTAATGAAGTACATGGAAAGCAATTTTATGTATCTCTTTATACTTTTAATATTTACTGTTTAGAAAATGTGCCGTTAAAATACAAAGGTGTACTTAATACTGTCCAGTTGCAGGTTGCTCACATTCTAATATGGTACTAAATACAAAATTCATTTTAAAAATATGTTTATTATAGGGGTGCTTGGGTGGCTTAGTTGGTTACGCATCCAGCTTTGGCTCAGATCATGATCTTGTTCATGGGTTCTAGCCCTGCATTGAGCTCTGTGCTGAGATCTTGGAGCCTGAAGCCTGCTTCATGAATTCTGTGTCTCCCTCTCTCTCTGCCCTTCCCCTTCTCATACTTTCTCTCAAAAATAAAAACATTTAAAAAATCAAAAGTTTTCATTGTATAATTACCAATAATATAAAGAAGAGGGTTATAATTTGAGAACTAGAATAACTATTGAAAAAAATTAATTCTAGGAATTTCTCCTTTTAAATTTAAGAGCTTGTATATACTGTTGAGTAAAATTTTGTGACCTTTATTTTTTTATTTTTCCTTGTTTTAACTTCTTTTTCCATGAAGCATTTGAGGCCTTTTTGGTTTTTTTAATTTTTATTTATTTTTGAAGGAGAGAGAGACAGAGTGTGAGTGGGGAAGAAGCAGAGAGAGAGGGAGGCACAGAATCTGAAGCAGGCTCCAGGCTCCAAGCTGTCAGCACAGAGCCCGACACAGGGCTCAAACTCACAAACCGTGAGATCATAACATGAGCCAAAGTCAAACGCCTAACCCAACTGAGCCACCCAGGCACTCCTGAGGCCTTTTTTGAATAGAAAAATATTTAATTCCAAAGGTAGCATAGGGAGAAAAAGAGTTATTTTTATCCTGAAGAATATACCTAATCTTAATTACAGTTTATTGGGTTGAATTGAAATTAAGACCAATGCTGACCTTAATAAGAATAGTTGCAGCATAAGAAAAGTGCAACAAGATTCTACTAACGTTAAAAAATAAAATCTAATTGGTTGTTAAAATTGAATTAGCATTTTTTTAAAGACAGTTTTTTAAGTTTATTTTGACAGAGTACAAGCAGAGGAGGGGCAGAGAGAGAGTACAGAAGACTGAAGGGGAAATAACTGAGTGGTTATAAATTTAAAAGTTAGAAAAAAATTGAAGGTGTATTTATGTAGTTTGAAGGTGTATTTATTCATTTCTCTCAATGTTACCTTGACAGGAATAGCCAGAAGGGTGGGAAAACGTTTTACCTGGAAATTTGTAAAAGATTACTTAAAGCCATGTCATTTATCTTCTGCAATTAAGTGCACTCTGGGGCTCCTGGGTGGTTCAGTCAGATAAGTTTCCAATTCTTGATTTCAATTCAGGTCATGATCTCACAGTTGTGAGAGGCCCACATTGGGCTCTGTGCTGAACATGGAGACTACTTACGATCTCTCTCTCTCTCCCTCATTCTCACTGCCCACCACTGTCTCTGTCTCTGTCTCTGTCTCTGTCTCTATCCCTCTCTTTCTCAAGAAAAGAAAGATAGTGAATTCAGGTGTAGAAACAATATTCATCTAACAGTGGAGTTTACAGTAGAGTATTGTCACTCCAAAAGGTAACTAAGAGAAGTCTACCGTGTTGGCAGTCTGAAATGCTTTTTATGAAGATCACTGAAAATCGTACAGTGGATAAGTGGAAGGATTACATTCTAAGAGAGGTGATAAATGAATACCAGAGAGGTTTTTGTTATGTGCAGATTTTTGAAACTGTGCTTACGTACAAGATTTTTACTCCAAGTAAAAATGTTAATGTTTACAGATCAACCAAGTAACTCATGATCAAGCAGTGGTGCTACAGAATGCTCTTCAGATTATTCCTAATCCATCATCTGAGTGCGTGCTTAGAAATGTATCTATACGTCTTGCCCAACAAATATCTGATGAGGTTAGTATCAGATTTTGAAAGCTCTAGGGTTTTGAATGGTTAATTTTTTTTTCAATATATGAAATTTATTGTCAAATTGGTTTCCATACAACACCCAGGACTCATCCCAAAAGGTGCTGTCCTCAATACCCATGACGCACCCTCCTCTCCCTCCCACCCCCCATCAACCCTCAGTTTGTTCTCAGTTTTGTTTTTTGTTTGTTTTTTAAATATTTTTTTTTCAACATTTATTTATTTTTGGGACAGAGAGAGACAGAGCCTGAACGGGGGAGGGGCAGAGAGAGAGGGAGACACAGAATCGGAAACAGGCTCCAGGCTCTGAGCAACCAGCCCAGAGCCCGACGCGGGGCTCGAACTCACGGACCGCGAGATCGTGACCTGGCTGAAGTCGGACGCTTAACCAACTGCGCCACCCAGGCGCCCCTGTTCTCAGTTTTTTTAAGAGTCTCTTATGCTATGGCTCTCTCCCACTCTAACCTCTTTTTTTTTTTTTTTCCTTCCCCTACGCCATGGGTTTCTGTTAAGTTTCTCAGGATCCACATAACAGTGAAACCATATGGTGTCTGTCTTTCTCTGTATGGCTTATTTCACTTAGCATCACACTCTCCAGTTCCATCCACATTGCTACAAAGGGCCATATTTCATTCTTTCTCACTGCCACGTAATACTCCATTGTGTATATAAACCACAATTTCTTTATCCATTCATCAGTTGATGGACCTTTAGGCTCTTTCCATAATTTGGCTATTGTTGAGAGTGCTGCCATAAACATTAGGGTAAAAGTGCCCCTATGCATCAGTACTTCTGTACCCCTTGTGTAAATTCTTAGCAGTGCTAACTGCTGGGTCATAGGGTAGGTCTATTTTTAATTTTCAGAGGAACCTCCACACTGCTTTCCAGAGTGACTGCACCAATTTGCATTCCCACCAACAGTGCAAGAGGGTTCCCGTTTCTCCACATCTTCTCCAGCATCTATAGTCTCCTGATTTGTTCATTTTGGCCACTCCGACTGGCGTGAGGTGATACCTGAGTGTGGTTTTGATTTGTATTTCCCTGATAAGGAGCGACGCTGAACATCTTTTCATGTGCCTGTTGGCCATCCGGATGTCTTCTTTAGAGAAGTGTCTATTCATGTTTTCTGCCCATTTCTTCACTGGGTTATTTGTTTTTCGGGTGTGGAGTTTGGTGAGCTCTTTATACATTTTGGATACTAGCCCTTTGTCCAATATGTCATTTGCAAATATCTTTTCCCATTCCGTTGGTTGCCTTTTAGTTTTGTTGGTTGTTTCCTTTGCTGTGCAGAAGCTTTTTATCTTCATAAGGTCCCAGTAATTCACTTTTGCTTTTAATTCCCTTGCCTTTGGGGATGTGTCGAGTAAGAGATGGCTACGGCTGAGGTCAGAGAGGTCTTTTCCTGCTTTCTCCTCTAAGGTTTTGATGGTTTCCTGTCTCACATTCAGGTCCTTGATCCATTTTGAGTTTATTTTTGTGAATGGTGTGAGAAAGTGGTCTAGTTTCAACCTTCTGCATGTTGCTGTCCAGTTCTCCCAGCACCATTTGTTAAAGAGACTGTCTTTTTTCCATTGGATGTTCTTTCCTGCTTTGTCAAAGATGAGTTGGCCATACGTTTGTGGGTCTAGTTCTGTGGTTTCTATTCTATTCCATTGGTCTATGTGTCTGTTTTTGTGCCAAGGGGTTTCTCAATTTGAAACTTCCTTTTGAGATTGCTTTTCCTGCCTTCCACAAGTTTTGGTATGTTCTGCTTTCATTTTCTCAAGATTATTTTTTAAATTCCGTTTTTGTGCTTTTTTGTTTTTGTTATATCTTTTATTTGTATCTTAGAGAGCAGGAGAGAAGGCAGGTGAAATAGAATCTGAAGCAGGCTTTCCACTCAGCATGGAGCCTAACACAGGGCTCCATCTCAGACCTGGTATCATCACCTGAGCTAAAATCAAGAGTCAGACACTCAACTAACTGAGCCATCCAGGCGCCTCATAAGTTCCCTCATTTTGATTCTCTTACTTAATACTTGCTCAGAAGCATGGGTGAAAAGTTCTGAATATATCTAGTTAGGTCTATTTAGTCTTTAGTGTTGTTCAGTTCTGCTGTTTTCTTACTAATTTTCCTGCTGAGTAATCTATTCTTAAGAATGGAGTATATTAAGTTTCTTTGTATTATCGTATTGCAATATTTTTACCTTCAAATCTGTATTTGTTTTATATTTAGGTGTTTTGATGTTGGTGTTGAACATCCAGTTGAATTGACCCTTTATCATTATTTAATATCCTTCCTTGCTTTTAGTGAGAGTTTTTGACTTAACGTTGTTTTGTCTACCCTGTTCTCTTTTGGTTACCATTAGCATGGAATAATCTTTATTCTTTTCATCAGCGTCAGCCAGTGTCACTTTATTGTAGGCAGCAGATGGTGAGATCTGGGTTTTTTTTCTAATCCATTATCTACTCAGGGTGGAGGTTTTTTGTTTTGTTTTTGATTAGCAGATTTACACCATTTACATTTAAAGTAATAGATATAATAGTTTGTTAATAGATACAAACTTAGTCTTGCCATTTTCTTAATTGTTGACTATTCCCTCCATCTTTGCTATTCTATTTTGTGATTTGATTTTTTTGTGTAATGGTACACTTTGATTCATTTTTCTCAAGTATGGCTTGCACTTACGACCTGAGCTGAGAACAAGAATCAGTGCTTATCTGACAGAGCCACCCCAGCATCCTTGATTTTTTTCAATAGCATCTGTTGTTTTTGACATAAAGTTGTATCTCCTTGTGGGTTTGATTTGCATGTCCCTAATGGTGAGCACTTGTTCATGTGCTGATTAGCTCTAGTCAGGTATCTCTCTTGGAGATATGTCTATTCGTGTCTTTTGGCCATTTTTATTCACAGTTTACATCTTTTTATTGTGTGTCCATTAACAAATTATAACTACAGTGAGTTTAAAACTTTTGCCTCTACAACTGTTAGAGATAATAGTGATTTATATACCACCATAATGGTGGGTGAATGAATGAATGAGTGAATGAGTGAATGAATGAATGAATTTGACTATATTTATCTTTACCAGTTTTATACTTTTATATATATTTTTATGTTACTGATTAACATTCTTTCAACATGAACTTCCTTTAGCATTTCTTATAAGGCAAATCTTGTGGGTAATGCATTATCTTACATTTGTTTGCTTCAGATGCATTTATACTTTATTCATTTCTGATGGACAGTTTTCCCAAGTATAGCATTTTTTTCCTTTTAACACTTTGAATATTTCTCTCTTGTTCTACTGGTTTGTCAAGTTATGCTGACAAATCCTCTTATAATCTTATGGAGGATTCTTTTCCTTTGAAGAGAGTCACTTTTCTTGCTATCGAAATTCCTTCTTTGTCTTTAACTTTTGATAATTGGATTGTAACACATGTGTCTTGGTGAAGTCTTTATATTGGTTTGCATTTGGGATCTTTTGAATTTTATAAATCTCATAATCTGTATCCCTCCCACAACTTGGAAGTTCTCTCTCAAAATAAACCCATTTGTTTCTTCTCCTTCAGTGACTCCCAACACGTATTTATTGGTGTTTCTTGATGTTACAAGACTTTTTATTACTATTTTTCTTTTTCTCTCTTTTTTTCTTCCACTAACTGGACAATTACAAATGATATCTCTTAGTATTCACATACTCCTTCTATTTGATTTCTGTTGATGAAGCTCTCTGAATTTTTTCATTTTATTCATTGTATTGTTCGGCTGCAGAATTTCCCTCTTGTTTCTTTTCAAATATTTCTGTTTTCAGTCTTCATATATTCATGTATTGTGTTCTTGGGTTCATTGAGTTGTGTATATTCTCTTGTACTCATTGATCTTTTTTAAACAATTATTTTGAATTCTTTGTGAGGCAGTTTGTAGTTTTCATTTCTGTGAGTCAGTTACTTAAAGATTATTTTATTCATTGCTGGTGTCTTGCTTCCTTGATTCTCCATATTATAGTAGCTCTTAGTTGTGTGCATATTTGAGGGAGCAGTCACCTCTTCCAGACAGAAAGATCTTCAGCTGTGTGTTAATATATTGGTGCTGGATGATGGGATGTGCAAGCTCCCGCTTCGTGAGAGTATAGCAATTCTGAGAAGTTAAGGTCAGGGTTGAGAAAGATACAGGCCCTATTCTGAATAACCAAGGCCATAGATATTAGTTGTCAAAAGCAGAAATTTTAAGTCACTGGAGAAGTAGAGAGCATGGCTGCAGCAGTGACAAGGTTATCTGGGTTCCTCCTGTTTTCATTTTCCTCCATGAGAGAAAATTGCAACTGAGTCGATCTCTCTTTGCTTTGAGTTGCATTTTCCTCAGGGATGGGGTAAGTAATGTAACTTTTCTATGTGGCCATTCTCAGTTTTTGTGCCCTGATTTTTATGTGCTGCAGCCTCATTCAATTCTGAATCTGTCCCAGGGATATTTTTGTGGATACGTAGTGGTTTATTGTTTTTGTTGGAGGGACAAGCATGGAAACCTCCTATCCATAATCTGGCTAATGTGGGTTCACTGATCTGGTTTTAATTCAGCATTTGATCTGATTCTGTTCTTCCCCATCTTATCACTTATACTCCCTTAATTACTTTTTAATGTGGTTACTCTTGAATCTGCAGAACACTGCAGGTTCAAGAATGAGGCAAATTCCTTATAACATAGTTTCCAAATCGCCTTCTTTTCTTTGTAACATTGCTGTCATTCATTTCATATATCCATAAGCTGTACTCAACAAGTTACTGTCCCCATTATTATTTTGAATACACTATTATCTGTTAATAGTAAGAAAAGTAAGATTTTCCCTAAAATAGTACTTCTCTAAAACTCTATATTTCTCTGTATAGATTTAAGTTTCAGACCTGTATCATTTTCCTTTCTTCTGAAATATTTCTTTTAACATTTTGCAGGATAAGTCTACTGACAATTTCCTTATATTTTGTTTGAGAAAGTGTTTTTTTTAATTGTTT